GATATCTGGGTGGATTAAGACTACTCCAGACTACATGTATATTTAGGAAGGATATCTGGGTGGGTTAAGACTACTCCAGACTACATGTATATTTAGGAAAGATATCTGGGTGGATTAAGACTACTCCAGACTACATGTATATTTAGGAAGGATATCTGGGTGGATTAAGACTACTACAGGCTACATGTAAGAAGTTCTACAATTACTGCTCCGTGAAAGGAATTGCACTGGCAAAGAGAAATTTCACACTGAAGTACGATACCAACATTCCCAGACAGGTTTAAAGGGATTTTTAATTCGTAACTCTAAGTGAGTCTGTATATAACAGAAGAATTCTACGATTGTTTAAAAAAAAAATCCGTTCTCAATCTTATGGTATAGAATAAAAATTGGATGACTTTAAAACCTAAATAAACATGAAGACGAGATTAGGTTAATCAGGTATTATTGTTTAGGTTGGGTTGGCTGGTAGTAGCGCTATTGTAACAGCAACTCTCAAATGTCTTATGACATTTTTTAATTTGACAGAAGCAGACCTGCCAAAAGAGGTAAAAATGGATAAATATGGTTAATAGAAAAACGCAGCTCCAGATAAAACCGGGCTTAAAGAAGAAAAAGCACCAATGTAGCATGGGAACATAAAAGTAAAATTGAAGTCGTCTTTTTTGGATTTAGGGGATTTTCGTTCACAATAACCCTGAGGCAGAAACCCAAAGGAGTTACGCGCACGCTCGCTCTATGTGTTGTCATTCAACGCGACAGGCGCGTAACTCCTTTGTGCTTCTGCCTCAGGGTTATTGTGAACGAAAAACCACTAAATAGTGTTCTATCTATATTGTTATTAATCTATGAGATGACGGTTTAGAAATTAATGTTTTAAATTTGGTTCCTATAAAAATCACTGGAAAAAAACGACAAACAACTTTAATGTGTGTTGTGTGTACAGGTACAGCCAGACTTCATCCTAGATGTTGAGGTAGGAGAACTAAATATAAATGCTGGACTACAGGATCGAGTAGTCCAGGTCTATCAGGGACTAGTCTACATGGACTTCTCCAGGGATATTATGGACTCCAGGGGACACGGAGAGTACAGGTGGGACAGCTGCTGAACAGCATACTTCAAGAGAGCTTTGAATTGGACATTTTGTGACAATATGAAACAGGAAGGGGGAAATATGAAACAGGAAGGGGGAAATATGAAACAGGAAGGGGGAAATATGAAACAGGATTAAACCTGCATGCAAATTGAAGGGGGAAATATGCGAGATAATTAAACCTGCATGCAAATTTGACAAAGCCGAATTCACAATTTTGATTTATCTACATTTCTATACTGCAGGAAAAATTGGACATTTTGGGGAAATATGAAACAGGAAGGGGGAAATATGAAACAGGAAGGGGGAAATATGAAACAGGAAGGGGGAAATATGAAACAGGAAGGGGGAAATATGAAACAGGAAGGGGGAAATATGCGAGATAATTAAACCTGCATGCAAATTTGACAAAGCCGAATTCACAATTTTGATTTATCTACATTTCTATACTGCAGGAAAACATTTAATAATTATCAGCGTTAAAACACTTTTACCCCTTGAAAAAAAAAACAATTTCTCCGCATTACTAATTAAACCAATGTTTCAAGGGTACCATTGTGAATGGGGCTGTGCCATTTTTCACATTATGAGTCACTTGAAATTACGCTTACAGTCCCTTTAAATAAATTTTTGTATATTTCGTTCTAGGTTCTTATCATAGTTTTACTTCAAATAAATGGACAAAACTTTAAACTTTTAAATTACTATTATATAGTAATCATAATCTACATTTTTTAGAAAATAATAATTTTTCTTCTCAATTTCAGGAAACTTGAAGTATCAGAATTGCCTCAATTCTTCCTGGTTTATTCAGGAGATCCAAGCGATTCTGGAAAAATACATTCTGATGTTAGGTATTTACTTTCATAAGAGATATATTTTAAACATTTATTTAAATATATATTGGTATTGTAATTTCTAGTGAGCCCCTGTCTTAAGATATTTGACATCCCTGTTTACAACGGTATTCTGTAAACTTAGGTTGGAGCTAAAAATAACTGAGATATTCTTGATTATCATTCTGAAAATAGATTATTAATTATAAAATGAAATTTTCTCTCTATAGTATGACTCGCAGATTTACGTAGGGCGGAACTTGACAGAATTGATCTCTTTTAAAGGTAGAAAAACGAACATATCTTCTTCATTGTAAATTAGGCATATAACTCTGATAACTCTGATAAAAAATGTGGAAAATAATGTGTTTAATTCTGAAAATTTCTCTATTGCTTCCTATAAGCAAGAAATGCGCAAGTCACTTTGACAGAGATCCCGCTAATGAAAATGAATAGTTTAAGGAAACTAAAACATGGTTTATTTGATTAGACAATGCTTTTCAGGGTACCGTTGTACATCGGGCAGTCATGTCATCTTTACATGCAGATTGGAGGCTCACTTAAGTCCCTTAAACCTATATGATAAAGCTCTTTGCTTATATATACAGAGCCTCCTATATCATATTAGATTATCTCCAAGTTTTAAGTTTTTTAACGCTAAAATAAACCCATAATACTCGAAAAACCTAGAATTTTCCGCAAGAAAATTCTTTGTTGGCCTTATTCAATTTTTAAAAATGATTCATTTTTCTTAAATTATCTGATTAGTCCCGAAATCGTGGTTTTGACCGATTAACGATCTAATATGATGTGGGACACCCTGTATAGTGTATACATAATTATATACCAAAAAAAGATATCACGGGCAACGCGGGCACTTCAGCTAGTATTATATATCAGGTCGAGATGGGAGGCTGGAGATGAAAATATTATTGAAGGAATGAAAAAATTGGCAGAATTAACAGGTTCCTCTTTGTATTTAAATCTGCAGGGAGGTTCGAAAAACAAGGGAATATTTCATTTTTCTAGATTCACTGAAAGTTAATCATCAAATTTGTATTACTGCCTCGACTTTATAATGTTGCAACCCCTTGGCATTTGGTTTAACCTAATCAACTCGCTTTGACTTGTTGCAGCCCTAGACTTGTACATTCTAAAATTTCAATGCCGAGTCCATTAGCGCCTGATCCAATCAGGGTTTAGTCATATGTTTGTTGTTTATTCTGAACCAATAGAAATTGCATGGCGGTAACAAATATCTTTCTATCTATCTCATTATCCAATTAGAGATATCAATCCTTCAATCGGCTCTATCAGTAAATGGACATATTTACTTCTACTTAAACCATGGTGTCTAGCTTAACTTTAAAAGAAGTAATTGGCAAAATACTGAACATCTTAGTTGGCAGTGGACCAGCTTTTATGAATGTCGTTTAAGAAAATATTTGTTGATATCATTATAAATAACGTTTATTAAGAAAGGAGCTGAGTCTGTCAAAAACTCTGATTTCCTAATCTCTACATATATATCTTTGCAACCCAATCAGGAATCAGGATGGTATATAATGGTTAAATCAGGAATCAGGATGGTATATAATGGTTAAATCAGGAATCAGGATGGTATATAATGGTTAAATCAGGAATCAGGATGGTATTTAATGGTTAAATAAGGAATCAGGATGGTATATAAAAGTTAAATCAGGAATCAGGATGGTATATAATGGTTAAATCAGGAATCAGGATGGTATATAATGTTTAAATCAGGAATCAGGATGGTATTTAATGGTTAAATCAGGAATCAGGATGGTATATAATGGTTAAAATAAAATTAAAAAGATTGTTTCTATTGCTCCTTGAAACTGCAGTCCACTGATTATCTTTTTAACATATTTTGATAAAATTAAAAAATCAAGCTTCGAAAAATAATTTAAATCTGATAATGTGATAATCTCAAATTTACTATATATACATTTTATACCCCCTTCAAGGAAACCTTTAATTACGCCTGTAATTATACCACTTCTCCGTGTTCAGACCTGGCCCTGGAGAGTATCAAGGAGAAGGATTGGATGAGTTTATCCAGGTATATGGAGCTGAACTTCAACATCAGGTTGGAGATGTACGGGGAGAACACGCTCGGAGAACAAAATCTTCATATGATCAGGTATTTACCAGATACCAAGCCGGTAAAGTATTTACTGTATGTGCATTCAGGCATACCGTCCAGTCTGAAGGGAATACCTAGTGCAAAAGTTGGCCCAGCACAATTTATGCAACAAATGTAGCCTGTCAAGATCACAGTAAACTTCCCCTGTTACACCTACCTATAATCAGATCAGAATTCAATATTCTCGTTTCATATAAAAATATAATAAAATACAGATTTTCTAATTTTCTTTTCACAAAATTTATCACGACAAAAACAATTGTTATCAAGAAAGGGACCGTTTTTAAAGAAATTTTCTTACTTGAAATAGTTCAGGACAGAATTCTACTTTTTTGGAAGGTTTTGTTTGTATCTAGTTTATTTGATTATTAATCAGCTGGTTTATATGATTTAAGTTTAATTAGTTAAATTGTAAATCCTTCCTTTAATTGGATTGTCGACGTTTTTTCAATTAAACCCATAATTTAAAAAGAGTTTCATGTGCAATTAACAATGGAAACCTTTCAAACTTTATCAAAATAACAATGTGGAAGAAATCAAGGTTATAATGCAAGGAAAGTTATTTCAGCGGTGTGCGCATCCTTTGTACTGTAATGTTAACACAAGACGGATGTCACAGCCTGACATGGGATCCATCTTTCAAATAAAAAATCAATGAAATATTTTGGTCATAGGAAACTATTATGTGAATTATCAAAATTTTTAAAATTCAATGCTTTTATCCTCCTCGGATACTAAACTAACACTGATGCATCTATTCTTGTTTACAAATTCTGCCCAGAGAGAACTGGTTTCAATATGTACGCAGAGTATAGGCAACTGCAATCAACTTTCCTTGCATTAAGAAATCTTCTTTTTTCCATTTTAAAAGGAGACAAATTCAGTCAATCCCCTGAATCCCCTGAATCTAATTATAAAATAAGGATATATTTTTCTTCTTCTGAAAATGGGTTTAGGGTTAACGTTGTTAATTGTGAATGAAAGCTCAGAGATCAATTGAAATAATAAATTTCAGTATCGGAACCAGGTTCGGCGCAGGCTGTAAATTCCCAGGGAGCGGAGGAGCAATCCTTGGTTTACTTAAAGACGAGGAAACTCCATCATTAATTCAGAAATACAAATATCTTAAAAATCTTTGCAACAACTTAAAAACTTTGTTAGATCAAGAATCAACTAGATTTTGTTTTTGACAGAGACTTGCGAATTTCTTACTTCAGAAATAATTAATAAAATATCATAATTAAACATTGTTCAATCCAGAAAAGTGATGTTATCATCAACAGTATTGATCAGATTAAGTTTTCAAGGGTACCGTTGTAAATAAAAACGGACAAAATTGGTTCATCTAGAAAAATGTTAGGGCATTGTTAATTTGGGTTTTGTAAATTCTAACCCTTTATTACCTATTGAATCTGTTTCACTTATAATTCTCTCCCATGTTTTTATAACGAGAATTTGATATACATCGACCTCTACGGATCCAGAAACTGGAGAAGATAATTAGGTTCTTCTCTAATGAAGCTGTTTGATAGCACAGACCGAAAAATTTCGGGATCCGTGACGGATGGAAAAAATTCTGCTTTATCGCAATCTCTTTTCTTCGAGTAGATTTTCTTTTCATGTCAAATATTTTTTAATATGGAGGATTAACCTAGAACAAGTTTGCCGAGATGGAACGAGAGTTCCAGAAGCATGGATACGTCGTCACTAAAGTTGTTCCAAACCTGCAGTAATCGAATTATTTTTATATTTCTAACCTTTATGTGTATTTCTATATTTCATATTATGTATGCAGGGTAACCTGCACAAAGATAGATGATGGGTCTAGCCAAACAGCAAAAAGTTTAAAAAGTTGTGCACACCCCCTCCCTCCCATGTACAAATTCTAGTACACCCCCCCCCCCCTTATGCCGGAGCGAGCGAGAGAAAGGTAGTTGACCTAGCCACGGCTGGTTAAACTACAACAAGATCAAATTGAACCAGAAGGTGGCAAAACCATTCATAAATCCATGTTCCCATCTTAAATGAGCAACCTTGAATAATTTACACTATCATTTGTTGTACATCAAAGAATTAATGAACTTTTATCAGAATTCATTCAAATTAATAAAATTGTGAATTATTATTAGTATTTAATTTTGTAAACACACATACAAAGAGCTATTATATTTATATGTCTTTCTTTGATGACGATTTAGACATATCAAATAAAATGGATATTTTTGGAAAATATAATTTTAGTATATCTAATAAATCTTCTTTAACCATGTGAAAGTGTATTCTTATTATTATGATTATATGGATAAAGGGATTGTTCAGATACTTGGGTGTTTTGATGAATCAACCATTTTTTAGCAGAGGATTTTAACCAAATCTATGCAAGAAAGTCTCAGGAAAAAAATTTTCTGGAAAAAAAACCTGGAAATAAAAACTTTGGTAAAAAAGTCCCAATTTTCTGAAGTACTAGGACAAAATGTCACTGGAAATAAAGTCCTAAGTTTTAACTTCCTTGGACTTGTTCCTAAAATAATATGGGGGCTGCCAATAAAGTCTCGGGAAATAAAATCGATCACAGGAATTAAATGAGACAGTATTTTTATTTTATTTTATTATTGCAAATCGTAGATTTTTATTTATTTTCTTTTTTGCTTTTACCTTTCCTAAAAATCAGATTCAGAGAAAACAGATTTTCTCTTTTTATTTTTAGTTTCAGAAATTTTTAATTAACTTCCAAGAAATATTCTTTCTGGAGAATTATGACGAGCATCAAATATTAGGAATTCTGCGCTCGATACAATTTGTTTTACGATCGTCACAGGGGGGGGGGGCAGGAGTTACTTACAGGGTCGAAGACGAGGGGGATGCCCCCCCCCTCACTCACTGTTTGGTTTAATTAAAGGAATGGTATTCTTTAAGTGCGTAGGACTTCCAGAATACTATTATCCTTATTAAAATTTCATTTTTAAAAATAATTTTTTATTCTTGAACATCCACGCCTCCATACGTATTGAGTCTTTTCCACATATTTTCTATTCATATATATCTTTTCAATCTGATTGATATTAAATTAATTATTAAAGAAGTAAATATATTCAAACGTTATTGTTTAATGTTAATAAGCTTCAAAATAAAAACAAGTATTTCCAAAGAATTATGAGTGTTTTATTTTATAGTTAAATATTTAAGAAGAATATTGTATTTTATATTTTCTCAGTGTGCTTGAATTGAAGAGGGTTGACCAAAGTCCAAAATACAAAAATAAATATATTTAGTAATTTTTAAAAAATTTTAACAATTGCTCTGCAATTTTTGGTTAGAGGGTAATATATTAACCAACATGATCCTGATTTAACATTCGGTGATGGTGATGGACCAAACCTCTGTAGAGTAAAAAAGTAGATGTTAGTTCCACATTTATTGAAAATATATTTCGGTCTGGGTTGACCCTCGTCAGTTCTAACGATATAATAACCATCAAAATCGATAAAAAAAAATATTACAAAATGTTTGTTAAAATCACAAGAAAATAAACAAACAAAAAAGATTATTCAAAATAAAAATTTGGGCTGTCAAATGAACATAAGGGAAACGAACTCAGATTATCAGATGGAAAAAAGATAATATGCAAATATTCACTCAAAAAAATGTTTTAAGAAAATTGTTATTCCTTGAAATTGTTTCTTTCACAAAGGTTAAAAACAAACTGTTTAGATGTATGTGTATAAAGTGATGGTCTAAAAATTCAGATTAAATACAATCTGTATTATTATATAATAGTTGAAGTATCCTCCATTGCCCGTGGATTTTTTAGAAAATAAATTTTCGAATTTTGAAAAAAAAATCAATTTTTAGCCAATCTATGTCACCCCCTGGGTTCCATCTCAACAAAATATCAGCCAATTAACTGTCCAGCCGGCGTTGCCCGTGAAATGAAAAAATTTTGAATTTCAAAGAAAAAAATTGGGTTTAACCAAAAAATTTGTTTACATTTTTCCTCTTAATGGTAATCATGGACATGGAGAATGGAGATCAAGTTTCTAAACGGGGATGTTTATGTCAGCAAGATTCTAGAGGGGGGGGTACCCCAAATAATCCCCTATATACGCCACTGGTTGGAGATTGTCTTTTTAGCGTTAAGATTAAATAAACATCGAATATGGTGCTCTACGCGAGACGTTTTTTATTGATAAAAACCATCAAATTTGTTTCCCTCGTTTGTGTCCAGTATTGTATAGGCTCTATATTATTTTCACCATCTCTTTTTAAGAAACTTGTTGCACGAATTGTATGTTATTAGTTGTAAAATAAACATAATTAACTTAATTAAATGAATGGCAAGATTATTATAATAAAATAGTTAATTAGTCGTGAGAAGAGGATTACGTTTACGTAATTATCGATTAAAGATTAAGATTTCCGTTCATGTTTATTATTTTCCTTAAAATCCTCAGTTACAGTTCAAATCAGGAACAAGTGATGAAAAAAAAGATTGACATCGACAGTATAAGATGCTAACCCCNCCCCCCCCCTCCCCCTCTTACAACAGTGAATGTTAGAAAAATGTAAACTTTTTAACTTGATCTTAGTGTTTAACTTTCCTATAGAACTCGGGATTACTTGAGGTCAATTTGGTTTCAGTAATCTAAACTAGATATTTAATTTACAGGGTGTCTCAGATATTTAATCTACAGGGTGTCTCAGGAAACATGGAAAATAATCGACGTCTAATTTGCATTGTCTTTCTTTTAAACACTGTTTAGTTATGTTACAGCGAAACCTATAAAACTGCAGAATAGGAAGACGACAGTTAACCAAGTTTTAAAAGTCCAATGAACATATAACATTCGACGAGTACTAACTACCGGTCAGATTATTTGCTTCTTCTACATCAACACACATTAGATTGCTAAAATGTCGTCTTCATATTCCACAGCTTTATAAGCCTTAATGTAATTTACACTACACAAGATGGAAGGATTTGAGCATTTGCCACAAACTCAAATATTTCTTATTCCTTTATCTTAGAAACTCGATGTAGACGTAGACCTTACAACTTAGATTATTTGATCTGACAGAATGCATTGTTTGAAATATCAAAGGTCTCCTACATTGGGTTGCAAAGATATAGGAGTAAGAAACTCAAGAGTTTGTGGCAAAGACCCAATTCCTTTCATGTTATATGTGTTTAATATATTGTACGTTTATCTTTACTTAGCTAACATTTAGGTATTTATGATTCATATTTATATTTCATAAAATAACCTGTGTTCACAAATACTTAAACTCGCTATTTCCTTGATCTTTGTATTTATAGAGAAGCCCTTATACCCTGGGTTAGTAAATTGCAAATATGATTTAACAATTAATTTTACAATACAAATACGCTCTCTTCTTAAATATCTCTTATTTATCAATAAATAACACAATTTTTTTATATTTTATTTGTACAATATAATTATTAGGATATAAAAAAATTATAAAATAAAATAATCTGTCTCTGGCATACTAAAAAATTCTTCAATTTGTACAGATAATTTATTCTTTAACGAAATAATACTATAACTTTATTCAAACAATAAGAAGTAGAAAAGTATAAGGTGCTTAACATGATGTAAAATATTGTTTTCAGGGGTCTGGGTAAAGGGTAGTATTTGAGCTACATAAAAGCATTCAATAGACATTCACGCAATAAAAATCTTGTTATTCTAATAGACTCTGGTAGGAATTTATAAAAAATAAGAAATATAACACATACATCAATATATCTAATTCACAATATTTTCCACATGCTAAATATATATATATCCCAATATGTTTCAGGCATCTAGACCCTCTATATACTGTGATGTTTTTTATTTAACGTATAATTGGTTAGTTCACTTTGCATAAAAGAAAAAATGATCTTTACAATATGATTTATTGACTTCTCGGACACACAGCGTTGAAAAAGTAAAAAAAATAAAGAGCGCTGAGAAGTCAGTTTTTTATACAAGTAAAAAAGGTAACTTTGGTCGAGTTCTGAGATCTTAATTCTAACATTTATGCAAAATTAACCTTCTATGAAAAGGACACACAACAATGAAACAAATATAAATATATAAATTGAAAAAATATATATGGTTTCAATATATGCCAAGTCAGTTGATACTTTGTGTAAGTTCCTCAGTGATTAGGATAAGATAAAAAATCTCTGTGTATGCCCATTGGCTTGGAGTCAGTTACGGTAGAAAATGCCTGATGTAGTTTGCTCATGTGCAAATCCTGATCTGGAGAACCGTTCCTGCGCAGACTGGAGAGCAGGTCAGACGCGTCCAGCGCACCGTTCTCGTTCAGCGTGCTCAAAGAGGCCGAGAGCGTCGCGAGCGTGCTCAGTCCGTTCAGGGAGAACGGGAGGGAGCAGTTCCCGTCGCTGTTGAGGATTGTATCGGAAATGCCAAGGGAGAGGTTTCCACTAGAGAGAGGAATACCGAGATCAATGCTGGCAGAGCGAGGAGTAGAGGGAGATGGTTTGGATATGGCGTTCATCCCTGGAGAGGATTCGGTTGGAGAATCAAGGTTCCCAAGAACCTTACCAAGCTCGTTCCAGATGGCACCACTGCTCAACCCTGTCAGGGAATGAGAAGAATCGTAAGGTGGAGAATGTCCAATCCCGGAGTCATGAGAGTCTCCGCAACCCCACAGCGCACTTCCAATACTGGAGATATCTCTGTTCTTCATGTTGTTGAACTTGGAGTCAAAGTTATTGCTCTCGATAAGACTGTGAAAGTGAAGATCCTCAATGTTGTTCATGTTAGAGCCTAGGTTACCCATGTTATGGGATTGGGAACTGGAGAGAATACTATTAGAACTGTATTTACTGAGCAGGTTCGCGTTGCTTGAGCTAGAACTGGCCGAATCCGAGAGAATAGAACTGAGTCCTGAGCTCCCTGAGCTACTAAATGCTGAGCTGAAGTTGGCAGTGATGTTGTCGTCGATACCGTCCATGTTGTCAAACAACCCGGAGCCAGTACGAAGCGCAATGTGGGACTCTATCTCCTTTCTGGCGGAGTCTACGTTCTCTGGTAATCCTGTAACCTCAAATACCGGCTCCTTATCTCTTGATGGAGTGACTATGTAGGTGTGGGTCTGCTGCTGGATACGCTTGATGGTGGCCCCCTTGGGTCCTACCACCAGCCCAACAACTCTGTATGGGACCCTGACTTGAATTGTGGTTTGACCAGGAGTATTAGCGACCATCTGACCGAACGCAAGAGTGGAATTGATATTATTCTTCCTTGAAGCTCTGATTTGGGAGAAATGTTCTGCAGCGGAGAGAATCTCTCTCTTTGCTAGGTTAACGTCCTCCTTGCGTCCAGTCACCACAAACACAGGTTCATCCCCCCTCACAGGGGTCTTGATGTACGTGTTCGTCTTAGCTCTCAATGCCTTGATCTTGCATCCTGAAATTAAAACATAATATAAGTATTCGGAATCAAAGAATATGAATATTTATAAATCAATTTAAAGTTTAAAGCTTCTGATCCAATGAAAATATTCCATGATCAAAATTCAAGGAAAATCGCTTTAAATGATGTTTATTTATGTAATTGTATAGATATAAGTGATTAATACCCCCCCCCCTCCTGCAATATGACAAAGAGTACACAATGCATAACAAATATTAGGGGTATTCTGTGGTTCCTATCAAACAAGGCCCAGAGATATATCAAGTTTAACTTATATATTTACTTAAGGAGGGTGGATTGTTTGGAGTATAATATCTAACATAATAAATGGATAGATAAGAGAAATACTCAACGACACAATTATCAACGTATTTTATCTGGGCTTATGAATTAACAATTAAAACTATTTTATTGAATTACTCGCATCTCTCACGCGTAGAATTAGACCCTGCTAAGGTAGCCAGGCTTGGGAGGGCGGGATGGAGGGGAGGGGGGTGAGATATCGGATTTCAGTATATGTCAATAACCTGATAGAAAGAATTAAATCCTAAATGGATAATTAAACAAAACTTACGAAAAGAAATTTGAAACTAAAAAGAAAGCAGTCCAAAGAAGTTTGCAATTTTTAGTTAGATTCTTTGTTCGTTACAATTCAATCTGTACAATATACATGTGAATACCAGTGAGGGGTGAGATTGGAAGGGTGGATGTAAAGGACTAGAATCCCTCTGGGGATTTAACTCCATACCGGAGGAAAAGAGGGGGGATTTCAAGTAGAGGGAGATAGATAGACGTCTGTAGCAACCAGGCTCCCCTAGCAGCATAGATCAATGGCCTCCTGCAGGGGTAGGTAACCAGGTAGGGGGGATCTTTAAACTTTGAGGGGGTCGGGGAGGAGGGGGTGTGCAGGGGATATTAGTATTAGGAGAAGATATTTGAACCGATGCGTAGTAAATATTAATATAGAAAGCAGGATGTAGTAATGGAAGTGTGTAGTAAATATATTCACGTATCTTCATCGGACTTGTGGAAGAGGGTTGAGATTTTTTGGGGGGACAAAATCCAACAGAAACCGTTGGTGAAATTAAGTATTTTTAAAACATTTAAGAAAAGGATTTTTAAAATGAGTTAATGAAGACTAATGAGTAAAATAAAGCGAAGTAAATTTTCTCGGACGAAATATGATCCAGATGGCATTTGAAAATACAATAACTGTCCCTTTAGGTTTTAAAAAGTTTATTTAATCAAGCTATCATTGGTTAAGTTCTTTGCAATAAATACCCTCCCCCCCCCGGCCACCCTTGCTGCACAGTGCACTGTATCGAGGTAATGCCTAACTCAGTTTGAATTCTTGGTCTAGACAACGTGTATTCGAGGTGTAACAGTTCAGTGCAACACTTTTAAAAACAACACAGGGGGACTCCATGAAATTCAAGAAATATTTAACCCATTAGTGACGAGACCATTAACTTTTAGTGAAGTTGTTTTAGAAGGATCTTGTGAAAACAAAACTTGATTGTACCCATGAAAAAACGATATTCAATTAAATTTTTGAATTTTTTTTGTACAGGGTGACCTGTAAAACATGAAAATCTAAAAAACTTTTGCAATTAATAATTATTTAATTATCTTAAAAACTTTACTTTTCATGTTTTGGGTATTTAGATCTTTAAAAGAAGATTCCAAAAATATCTTTAAATTTTTTCTAGCAAAAAAATTGACAATTTTATAGATTCAAAACTAAATTACAGGGTGTTCTTTTGGTTCTTTTCCGAATTCAAAATCTTGTTTTTTTGGGTTTTTTTAAATTGAAAATTTAATAGAAAACCCAATTTTGAAGTTACGTCAAATATAAAATATGTTTTGAAAACAGGAAATCCTAAGGAAAGCGCAGGAACAGACAGGACAAGATTTAGTTTAATAAAAAAGGCACTTTAAAAAAAAAACTTCACCCGGTCAAAATTGACCTTCTCGTCACTAATGGGTTAATTATTTGTTTACGATCAAGATTAGAAAATAAAATTCATCTTTTACAAAGTAGATGCCTAGGATTTTGTTAAGTAGTTGTTGAAATCCCTGTTTAAAATCGTGCCGAGATCCTCATCGTTTTATTTCTTGCAAAAAGTGTAGAGTTCAAGAAACCCTGGGTACAGGTGCATAGCACACCTCTCTCCACCCCTACCCTCACCCTTTCACACACACACCCCCCCCCTCCCTCACCACCCAGGCCCACACTAAGCACCACATCTGGCCACATTTTATTTAGTTAAATAAATATTTGTCTTGTGTAGATATATTTTTACATTTATTATTTAAAAAGTTACTTTTTTTGAATAACTGAAAAGAATTGAGTCTTTATAGTCTAATCCATGTCTTTGCAACCCAATGTTGTAGACCTTAGATATTTCAAACTATGGTTTCTGTTCCGATTAAAATATATAAGTTTTATACATCAAAGGTTCAAAACATCAGGATACAAAGATTTAAGGAATATAAAATCAGTGTTTGTGGCTAAACATCAATTAATTCCGAATAATTCTTCAGTTTTTTACTATTAACTCTTAAGGTTACGCAATATTTTTGTCGTTTACATGAGTCGGATGAATTTGTCTATATCCGGGTTCCAGAATTCTTGCAACAAAAAATATGTAGATATCTAAGTATTATATTATTTGTATAATTGTAGTTCTCGAAATTTGAAAACTTGAAGCTATTTTACCCTGGTTAAAATTTGCCCAAAAAATTGACAGACAGATTTCTGCAACTGTTTATCTCCAAATGCTTTCTCTCCCTGCCTAAAGCTTTCTCATTTCACTTTCTATTTCCTTTAAAGGATCGGTTTAAGTGGGGGACAGGGAAAAGGGGAGATATGGAGGGAGTGGCTAGAAAAAGGAAAAGGGGGGAGGACTACTCCACGGTGTAAAGAAAGCAGTAGGATTTCCCTCGGCAAAGGTCAAAAAACGGAAACCAGAACTAGGAACTGGGTTCAAACGGATGAAATGATTGACAAATAAGGAACCAGATGTGCACTCAACCTGAGTCCGAATTTAATGAATTTGAGCCGCGTCCCAAATCCGCCCAAAACCGGATTTAATCAAGCACCGGCTTAAATCTTGAAACATTGAATACAATTTGAAGTGGGACCAACCATATCTGAGCCGCGGCTCAAATTCTTAAGATTCGGCCTAAGGTTTAATAAATTCTAAACCTTTTCCAACCGTGATTTCTATCCCATTGATCAACTAGACAGTGGTGAGCAAAAAATGTCTGGAGGTATAAGAAGTGTTAGGTTCCCCTCCTGGAGAGACCCTGCCCATATAGGTCTTATAGTGAATATTTAAACTCTAGGTCTGGTAGAATACTCAACACGGAATATAAATAAACATCACGTGTGCGTACAAAAAATAGTATTGATTAGTTTTTTAAGAAGCCACTTATAAACGTATAAAACTCAAAAACATTACAGCTATTGTTTTTCATGTATAATATGTTTCTATATTTTACTGGAAGCCTGGAATAGATGTATTGAAATACTGTTAAAATATAAATAACAATTCAATTTAAATAAAGTTGTTAAAAGGAATGTTTCCAGGGCACTGTCAAGGTTAAATAGAACAAATCTCGGTGCACATCTATAACCGGCCTGGGATTTATAATCTATGGTTATTATGTACTTTAAACCTGACACACTTCCTAGCGTGCAGGAGGAGACTCCCCCCCCTCCCCCAACCAAGGTACGCCTACAATTTAACCCTCATCCCGAACCGGAAGGGATGAATGAGTAGGATTATCAGGTCTTAAAACTAGATTAAACCGCGAACATGAAACCAGAAAATCCACGAATATTTACTTCGCGCTCCACGAGGTGTATTCTGGGTATCTTATACACATGGAACCGTAACGAATTTATTTCGTTGAATCTCGAAACTTATTTGTTTAAAATAAAGATCAACGCCTTTACTCGGGATCAATGTTTCCTAGTTAAAGAACTGGTTCGAACCTGCGCGCGCTGAGCTGAAGAAACCTAACCATGTGCTGTGTGCGCAAGCAACACCTTTTTATCTTGTGGTAAAAAAGTGAAGAAGAACTCGTGCATAATGGATGGGATGGTTTAATTAAAGATATGATTCACAGGGGTGGAAGGAGAAATCAATATTTTGTACAAAGAGAACAACGTGGTTTATACTGTTGGTTGAAAACACGGATAAAAAATACACTCCACCCCTCTGCTACTTATCAGATCTTATTTCAACCTTTACACAAATCGTCTTAAATTCGAGATTAAACTTTAAACCCCATTTAATTTATTTACATTACATAAAAATATTTAAAGCAATAGACTGAACTTAAGTGATGTTAAAATCTATGAATTAAATAACAGCCCGCGAGTTTTGACAAGAGAAAATAGAAATGCCGACCGGGAAAAAAATAACTTAAAATTAATGAAGAAAATGTTTCGTCATATTCTATAAGTGTTTAAATTTCTATTTTTTTTTCAAGTTTTAAAAAGTAGGATGAAAAAATTTTATGTCGTAAATTGTTATCATCCATGGCTTTCTTAATCATCTATATTCTATATGTATATACGTAAATATAAGGTGGGGGAAATACGTGTGCTACTTCAGTGTTTCATTTTAAAAACTTATTTGTACTTCTTGACGAGTAAAAAATCTGACCTAGATCTAATTTAGCCGGCAAATATATCTAAAGAGCAAAAACATTCTAGAGGGTGGATTTAAACAAAAAATAATCAATAGTATTGATCCAGCAGGTTGTATCCCCCCCCCCCCCAACCCTCCCACCCTCTACCCCTAGTACCAGGGGAATATTAATACTTTCCCCTTCTGTTGAATCCCCTCCACCCCAGAAATCAATAGAGGATACTCACCCTGTCTGCCGACTATTTCTGCAACATGCTCTGAGGTTGGAACCGGTACACATTCAGTCATATTCTGAGATTTTCTCGTCTTAAGCTCCTCTAACTGTGCAAGCGTATGGCTGTTCAGACTCAAGGACTCCATGGAGAGGGCTGAGGAGTTATCCAACCCCAACATGGCTAGCTCGTAGGCCAACTTCACTGCACGGTTATCCTCTAAATCCGAGCTTTGTATTCGTTCCATGTTTAGATTTGATTGATATAGACTAGCGGGCATCACAGAGATATGTGAAAGCGAAGCTTTATGCGAGAATAAAGGAAAATATTTTAGAGAACTATAACAATAACAGTGCGCGAGGTGGGGTATAATGTTTTTCTGTCGGAGAGCTAAAGAGATATGATTCTCCTCAGCGGACCCTCGCACCGCTCTGTGGGCCTCACACAATCAAGAAGGCAGGGAAAGCGCCGATTCTCCGCTGTAGTATCGATACCAGCACCGGCAACTATCGACACTAACATCACCCTTTCACACACATTTTCTCATGTAATAAATATCAAATAGACTTTTGTAGTTAAAAAGGTATGGTTGCAAAACGAAAAAAAAATGGATTTTTCTGAAAACACAGGAAAATTGATTAAATTGATTCAATTCTAATTTAAAAATTTTGTGTTATATATATATTTCATATCCGACCATTATTCTCATGTAAAATGTATTTGCAAGGGCGGTTTCAGGGGGGGGGGGGTGTCAGTCCATTACCCCACCTCTGACTGAAATTAGGGGGGGTGTACCCCCTGGATTTTAACACAGTCATTTCTCATTAAAAAATAGACATATATATATCTTCCTCCTAAAAATATGCGCATCAGTCAAAACTATTATTATGTAATATTGCTCAAAACTATTATTATGTAAATATTGCTCAAAACTATTATTATGTAAATATTGCTCAAAACTATTATTATGTAAATATTGCTCAAAACTATTATTATGTAAATATTGCTCAATGCTCTAGATAATTCTAGAAATACACAACAACATTTCCTTGTTTCTAGGACAAGGTACTGGAGAATAGAGAAAGTTCTACAGAGATGAGCAAGAATTTCTTTAAATATCAGAGACTAACACACGTTGCAATGTATTCTGAAATACAGGGAAATTATGACAAACTGTCTTATCTTTTCATGAGCAATATAATTATTTAATTCCATATAAAACTAAGCCATTTTCTAGATTCAAATTTCAGTTGCTATCAAAGGACGATGCACCCAAAAAGGGCAATTGCCTCAATTTCGGACATCAGTGTTTTAAATACCTTTATTTTAAGCGGCCCAGGAATACTAAATCATTATTATGGATCCAAATAAAGGAGGATATTTTAAACTTTTTATTATCTTGAAAAAAACTATCTTTTCTATATTTTCAGCCTTCTTTTGGTTATTTTTAACTCTAAAAATAAACTTAGAAGCATACTTGCAGTCCCCTGTAAGAAAAATTAGCAAGAATAGCATTAACTTTCATTAACTTTTAAAGAAATTAAATTTGTTAAAAAAATTACGGTTTCGCCCATTTTTTTTTTATGATCCGAAAATATTTATAAATTTTTTTTCTCCACATTTTCATGTTTTTCAGAAGCAAACAAAAATGTTGAAAATTATGTGCAACACATCGCTAATCCCGATTTTTGTTTACTCATCCTAAATTCTAAAAGAAATATAGAATTAGAATTTGCAATTGTTTCTTTATCTGCAAGATGCAGATTCTTGTAACACAAACAAGATGTAATTCAGACTAAAACTTTTTGGGGAAAGTTGTTTGGAAAAATTCATTTTACTATTATTATAATTAGTATTATTATTATTATTATTATTATTATTATTATTATTATTATTATTATTATTATT